GCAAGTGATGGCAGTAACTCTGGAATTTATTCTGAGTCCAGTAGGAAGCCTAACTTAATAAAAAGGAGTGATCCATGTATTTTAACACATAACTTTGATAGTTAGGTGCATCTGTTCAGAAAACAAATCTGATCATGTCCCATGTACTCTCCCCACCTAACTCCTGCTGAGAAGCCTTCAGTACATTACGCTTACTGCTAGGACACGCTTGTGTCCATCCAGTTTAACAAGCCAACTACAAGTTCCGGCTGTGTGGTGCGCCTGGCACTGAGTAGTGCCCATGCCTGCACGCCCCCAGCATGCGCCTCCCGGACTGTTCTCAGGCCCTGCTCTGTACCATGTTCCTTTCTCACTCTGCACACTTGTTTGCCTTCCTTCCTTCTTCACCTGCTCAGCTCCTGTGTATCTTTCAGCCCTCACCAGAACTGTCCCTGCTATCTCCCCATGGCGATAAGCCAATACAGTGTGAGAGCTGAGAAAACTGGGTTTCTCCCCCAAGGGGGTATATTGGAAGCGGGGCCCCATGCATACTGAGCAAACATTCCATTGAGCTGTGTACTCAGTCCCTAAGAGTTGAATTCATAAAAACCTAACAAATAACAAAAATTGAATAAGATGATATAGCAGTGTAGGTTCACATGTTGCAGTTAGTGTGCCGCTCTAATGAGAGATGTTGGTAATTGGGAAGGAAATTCGGGTCATTTCTTTATCTTAATTTTCCTGTGAATTTGAAATTATTCTTGAAAAAGCCTTTACAGAGTGGGAAAATTGGATGAGAAAACGAAACATTGGGAAGTTTTTTCCAATGACGTTTATGTAACTAAATGAAGATTAGGGAAAGTGCACAGCTTACCCACTAATCATGAACTGCATGTGGCAGACATCATGATTTTAGATCCTATTATACAATATAAGGGAAATGGATTATGTATAATATGAATATCTTAGACTTACCCTACCAAAACATAAAATATACACTACTCTGTGCACAGGAAAGTAATCATTACCTGGGAGAATCGACTTTGAAAGAATTAAGTATATACTATGAAGAGCAATCCTATAGATTTAAATTTGAAATCTATACTCTTAAAGTTGTTATGTAATTCAGATTTCATACTTTGTGCCTGACAATAATAAAAGGATGTAGCATTTCAGTTTTAAATAAGAATAATCTTAAAAATAGTATTAAAGAGGGGAAACATGCTTCAAAGTAACCACAGAAAGCAATATTAAAGTACTAGGAAACAGAATCGCTCAAATAGTTAGAATTCATGAAAACAAAGTAAGGATTATTTTGTTTATTTTTAAAATGGAAGTACAGAGAGTCACTGGTTAAGTAACTTGTCCCATTACATGCAGCTTATAGATACCAAAAACAAAAACAAACAAACAAAAAATCTAGTCTTCCGGCTTTAAACCCATGATTTTGCAAAAGTTTGGAGAATTTCTTAAATGTACACCCTTTACTTGGAATAAAAAATTAGTGTAAAGTATTTGAAAATCAGTATAGGATTTTGTATTTAAAAACTTTATAATTTGGGAACCTGTAATCACTTTTTGTGATCTATTACAGGGAATTAATTTAGTAGTAGTAAACAATGTACATGAAGATATCCATGACAACATTTTAATTAAAAGAGCAAAAGCTGGAAGTCATCCAAATGTTCCATAGTAGGATAATGATCAAATGTGTTACACAGGCATACGACAGAATGTTGTTTTGTAGTGGGAAAGTACTTATGTGCAACTGTAATGTTAGACATTGAAAGCAAGAAAATATCGGTATTATTGGTACAATATTGTCACAAATATGTTAAATGTACATAAAATGTAGGGAGGGACACACAAAAAAGAAAACAATTATGTGAGGGCAATGAAATAGATTCTGTATGCTTCAAATTATAAATATTTATACCTCCTTAATTTTTTTTTTTTTTTTTGGTACCAGGAATTGAACTCAGGACCTTGTACTTGTCAGGCAGGTGCTGTGCCACTGAGCTATATCACCAGCTCCTTAATGTTTTCACTTCATTATAAGTGATTAGGTAAAGGGCTCAAAGCTTATGAGTATGTGAAATCTATACCTGGGAAAGAAACCCAAAGAAGAGAGTTTCAACTTTAGTACTTTATAACCTCAATTCTAGTTTAGCAAACTCTAAAGAAGCACTACATTCACTCCAATCTCCTCCCACATAAAACGATAAATAATTATACTTTCCTTGTGAATTATCAACTCTCTCATTCTTTTTTGATGTTCCATTGTTCTATGTACTACCAAGAGCAAGAATGAATGGTTGTTTCAAAACTGGAAAATCTCACCCTCTGGGTTTCAGGTGGTAGAGACAGAATATTTTTTCTCACAATTTGTTGCTTAAGAAATATTTTGTATTCTCCTGGGATGTTTAATTTTGTTGTGGTTAACCAGGACATTAAAAATGCCACATTTAAGAGTCCAAAATTTATAGTAAAATCTATTTGTATCAAAACCTATATAATTAGTTTAATTTAATCACATTCAGCTCCCTCAATAATATTGAAAGTGATCTTACTAGTTAAGGAATATTGAGTCAGAGAACAGGGAATCAGATATATCCCTGGAAAGGAGAGAGATGCATTTTTTCATCTAACAACTTCTTGTAACTAGAAAATAACTTAGATTTTTTTTCCTGTAAAACTATGCCCAGACATTAAATAAGATAAGCTAGCTCTGGAGTTGGAAACAATGGACCTCAAAGAATATAAAAGTCTGTGCTATAGGCTTCCAGCTTTTTAAAACCAGCTTTCTGAAGTTCAGTTAGTCAGCTATGTACTCTTATTCAATCGGTGAAGAGACAGGGCTGAAAAATAGGATTTGATCACTTTATTAGCCTATTTTTATGTATAAATTAGAGATCTCCATAGATATATCTAGCAGGGTTCAGCTGTGAAGAGTTCAATTACTCCAACTAGCTTCAGTGAGAAGTGTTTTATGATGGGTATTAAAGGGTTTACAAAATCATTGAGAATTAAATTAACATAAATGCCGGGTGATCTTTCAAGAATGATTCTCAAATCCAATCTTTACGACTAACCACAAAACACAAGGCTGACTTCTACAAGGAGAAAAGCATCAGCTGCAGAAGCGCGTGCTGCTGACTTGGCTAGAAAACCGCCATGATTTGTATGTTATGACATAGAGGAAACCATCCTCGTCCTGGGGACTCCTTACGGTTGCCAGTTCCACAGTCCCACCAGGCCCGCAATAATTTGCATTCCCTGTGCCCTGTTTATCGATTCCCATCAAGGCAATGGCCAGGCAATGAGACATGTATTAATGGTGCTGCAAGGGGAAACAAAGAAAAAGTGCTTCCATTACCCTGCTCACCAGCAACAAGGCAGAAGTGGCAAAGGGCTGCCCTTCATCTCACTTCGGATTTCAAATTTCATGCACCTGCCTCTGAGTAGCTGAACCTAAGACCTACCCCGAACCTTGACTGCAAGGAAGTCCTTGAAAAATGAATTTTAGTTTTCTATCTTCTTTAGTATAGAAAAGGAATCTAGATTAAGCGTAAAATAGATGTCGCTAACTACTGTGCTCCATCTCTTTGATTACTCAGTATTCATACACACCCTTGCTGCACCCAACTCTCCAAAAGCATCAGTCATTAACAACAATGTTCCATGCTAACATAGTGCAGATATCTGCAGTACAAATCAAAGTGCAGTCATCCTCTCCTCAAGAGCGAAAACCAAAGAAAGTTGTCCCAGCTGTTAATCTGTCCATCTGAGGACAAAAAGTCACTCCTGTAAAGAAAAAACTTAGAAAGTTACCTGCCAATATACACAACACCAGAAGAAAAAGCGAGGCTGATATCGTTTCATACTCACAGAAACCACTTATCCAAACTATTACCAGGAAAAAATATGGCTAACTACTGAACTTTTCATTTCATAAAGCTGGAGTTTCGACTGTGACTTCCTCCCTCCTCTCCCTATTGTTTGCTTCCTCTGCATCCAGCTGGCACCAAGGCTGGCTGGGGCCCTTAAAATGTCCTGGGGCTCCATGTGCTCATTCTGGAGATCAGGGCTATGCTGACTTGCCACTTTCTGTGATGACAACTAGAAGTGGCAATCCTCAGCGTGCGCTAGAATATCTCCAGACCCCTAACTCCTCCTGGCCCACACTGTCTACCGGCAACCTTAGCTGAAACAGAAGCCGAGAAACGTTGTGTTCTGCTCTCCGGATTCTGCAGAAGACACGCCACTTGAAAGAAAAGGACGTGGCTGCGGCGATGAACTACTTTCACCACAGAGCCTTAGGGCTGGGTACAAAGCCAGCTCTTCATGCACTGACACTGTGCCAAGCTCTTGTATGAGAGCGAAGTCAAGCCTCAGCGTCACAGCCTTACTGAGTCTAACAAAGGGATCGAGTCTGCTTGGAGAGCAGTCACCTCGCAACCAAAGGAGACGATCTCATGCACAGCTGAGCTTTACTAGAAGGCTGTGGACTTCTGCCTCCCTCCTCTACACTTACATTGTGTTTCTCTACATGTGAACAATCCCAATTCATCATGGTGCTCTTACCTCCTCTCCATTCCGTGATACACCTTGTGTGATTCATCTTTTTGTGAAGCCTAAGAGGAAATGTTATTAACGCTTCTTTCTCAGATAATTTATTTGAATTTTCATGGATTTGAATAAATGGTAAATGGCTCAGATAACCTTCAAGAGAAAAAGCCCTTCTATTCTCTGAGTGATCCTTCCCTCACAGCAGGGTGCAGTTGCAGCCCTTTCGTGTGACCGGGTTTTGCTGCCCTGCTGACTACTGTAGCAGTGGTGCTGCAGCTCTCACAGTGAAAAGCAGGCATAACCTCATTAGTAAGGCTTGATAACAGGGTCACAGGAGGGGGATTCTCCCTCCCGGGGCCTCCAGCAACCTCTAAAAGGACAACAACGTCCAAGCAGTCACGGTCCCAGGGGAAACCTTAAAATTAATTTGTCTTGTGATAACGCATTGACAGGTTGGTTACTGGAAAGACATGGAACAAGAAGATGCAGCAGAAACAGTCAAAACCAGGGGGAACGAGTCATTCGTCATCCTGACAGGACTGGAAGGGAACACGCTGTACCACTTCACAGTGAGGGCTTACAACGGAGCGGGATACGGGCCGCCGAGCAGTGAAGTGAGTGCAACCACCAAGAAATCCCGTAAGTGACCCGGGCTTCTTGTTTGTCTCAGACAAAAGGGCAGCATCTTTTCGCATTTCTTGAAGCTGTGTGAGGTACATAATACGCATGCAAAGGGGAGTTCCAATTCATAGTCTTGCTTCAGTGCTTAGAGCTGAATTCCAAAACCAGCTCAGAAAAATTTTGCATTCACAGTAGATAAAGGTTCTCTTCCTGTGAAACAAGGCCAAGCGATTTTGACACAGGAGGGAGATAAAAAGATTCAAGTTCAAAAGCTCAGTAGAGTAGCTATTAAAATGACACTCGTGGAGCAAAACCCTCCTTATCTGACTCCCGCTGGAAGGGAGCCTGTAGTGTCAGCCAATTAGTGAACACGTGAAAAAATTGAAGTACTGGGAAAGATTTATGTGAAGAAATGTATTTGAGGATCCCTGTCAGTTCGCTCTCTCTTTTTACTTGTAGCCCCTAGTGAAGCACCCAGCAACCTCAGGTGGGAGCAGCAAGGGCCTCAGGTTTCTCTGGGCTGGGAGCCCGTCAGACCTTTAGCCAACGAATCTGAAGTCCTGGGTTACAAGGTGAGTATTTCTTCATCTCTGGCTTACACACTCAACTCAAAACTTGTAACTATGAGGATGGACCGTTATTGAGGTGTAAAAAGACCCACTAGCAAGCTGTCTTCTGGAAGTCATTTTTAACCCATGTCTGATAATGGAAGTTTTTCTAAAGGTGGGGAAGTCAAACTGAGTTTGAACTGCACAAGGCATAGGAAGTGAAGGAACAGGGATAGGAAAAGCAGCAATAATCTGAATGTGGGGCGAAGATAGTTCAGTAGGAAGACAGCTCCGTGATGCGTGGTGCCAGGCAGAAGGTCCTGACACACCCTCCCAGCAAACTGCTGGCAGATGGCAGAGACTGCACGTTTTAGACTGCACAGAGAGACCATCACCAAAGAAACACAGGGAGGGAACGGGTCGGCACACAAAATAGGAGAGAGTCCATGGAAAGAGATCACAAACTCCAAACCAGATATATCGCTTACATACGTTCATCCTGCCGCATGCCAACAAGAGATGTGAAACTATGAAACATCTGCACGTCTTGTTTTTGAGAAATAACTTTGTCTCTGAGATTAAAATATGTGCACGTATACTGAGTTGACCTAATTTCAAATTACTGTTCCATAATATCAGCTTCTACTTATTGCCTTCAACTCTGTGCAATATTATTAGTTCAATATTATTTATAGTGGGTTTGAAAATATTTTAATGACAATATTTAGACAGTAACACAGCTTACACGTAGATTTTCTGCTATCTGAGATGGTAGCACAGCATTTTGTCTATAAAGTGTTAATATTCTGAAGCTAAAAACTGAAGCAGTTATAAATGCAATATATATTTTATGGTAATTAGTCTCATTATTTTAAGATATGACCTGTCTATTGTTACCATCTTATCTTGTTTTGAAATTGTTCTATTTTTTCTCTTTAAAATAAAAAAAAATGACCTGTCGCATTTCCTACTGTAATTAGTATGGATCAGACACTGTCATGCTCAAAACCACATACACTCAAATCTGTCCCTAATCCTCAAAAATAGTAAATTTGATCTTTTGGGAAAAGGTAGGTGAGTCATTTTCCAGACCTTTCCCTGAGCCTTGTTCTCTTATACACTTTCCTAAAAGATTATGTTCTCACAACTTCCCCTCTAAAGCTAATACACTCTTCAGTTTTTAGGGGTAGAGGTATTGCCAAAGTGTTGACAGGGCATTCTAGAATTAGAATAGTATCATGAGAACTATGGCCCGCAATATCCCCATCTGGCAAGGCAAAGTAGAATGCAAAAGGCGGGGGGAGACAGAGACAGACAGAGAGACACAGAGACAGAGAGAGACAGAGAAGACCCATGTGAGAACAGAGAAATCTGCCTGACTAGCTGAACCCATGCAGTTGGGCGTGGGGTCCCCAGGCTGGATGCACCCACTGTTTGCTCACAGGTGATTCCTCTGTCTTCCGTTCCTGCTCTTACATCTCATATGTGACGCAGTGGGCCTTGACTGGTCTCTGTGACTCTATTCTATTTGTCTCTTCATCCTCCATGCTTTTAAAATTGCTAAGTAAATTAGTTTGACCCAATTAGGAGTGTCATGCAATTACTCATCTATATTCATCTAATGTGTGTATGCATACTTCCCAGCATGAATTGTCCATTTGTGGGAGTGCGGTAAAAAAAAAAAAAGACCACTGGCCTGAGTCAGGCAGACTTCAGCTCGAACTGTAGTTGAACAGCTTTGAAGTGGTTGTTTAACCTCTCTGGGTTCATGTCCTTAAATTCAACAATGGTAAAAGAGCAGTAATAGTGCTTATCATACAGAATGATTTGAGGAATTTGATTGCTTGTTTAAAATGCTTAACATTTATAAGGTATTCATTTAAAAATCCCATTTGTTTTCTAATTGTTATGGGAGAAGAATGCCTGGCCAAGGTAAAAGATTTAAAATAAAAGAAACATAACTAAAAGTTGCCGCCAGTTTTCTCTTAACGAAGACAACACAGGTTGCCTTCGAACAGCTTCCTCCTGTGGGAGGATCACAGTCACAGTCCATCTCAGCCGTATAGCTGAGGATAAGGAGGCGCACACTGCCGGGAGAATTTTTTCTTCTCTTTTCCTCAAAAGGGTTGTACTTTCTTACATCCTTGAGAAGAATGACTGCTTTCTAAGAAGGAGTCTGCCAATCACAAGTGGAGACTCCAAACTTTCTGTTTTGCAACCACACTAAAATCTCTTCTCTATGGGACAGTCCTGAGTGACAGGGCGACTGGCGCAAAGGGCCCTTGAAAGAAAGCTGACTTCTCACTGGTCACCAGGCTGGACACAGAGCCTGGATTCACCCCAGAAATTCTAGTTTACACAGGGCAGTTGCTAAGGATGAAAAGTCCTCCTGACACAGGGACAATGGGACAGGAATGTAACGACAAATAGTTGCTGAACTGAAAAGTAAAGAGGTGTGAACCTGGAGAACAGATTTGGAACCCCATCTTCTAAGCTTGACTTTGAAAACACATACAGCCTAAGCACGGGTCTCCACACGGATGTTAACTGGTTGTTCATCTGGAGGGAGGTACAGAAAGACGAGATGGCCAGGTTGGACACAAGAATCAAAAGAAGCAAGCATTCCATCTGATTGCTACTATATCCCAAAAAGCAGGGCCAGGTCGAGAGTGGCGCCGTGATGACGGTGGACCGCCTCTTAAGCATAGAGCATATGGCAGTCACAGAATTTTAACAGCCATAAGGACACAGCACACTAATCATTTCTCTGTCCATAAGGTAATTGTCTTAGTTACTTTTCTCTCTTCTCTCATTGCTGAGACAAAATGCCCAACGCCCAGAATTAAGGAAGGAAAGGTTATTTAGCTCACAGTTTGTGGAGGTTTCAGTCCATATATGGCTGGCTTCAAGGCAGAGTGGCACACGGCAGAGGGCAAACGTTCACGGTGACAGAACATAGCAAAGCAACAAGAGCAACAGGGAGGAATGGCAGCAAGCAGCCTCTTTCATTCTCTTACACTGTAAGCAGGCTACCCCCACCCACAGGGCGAGTAGCACTCACATAATCTCCATGCCCTCCTCTTCCACAGACTCAGGATGTATACAAAGTAAGCACCCTGGCTCCCTGCTGAGTCACTTAGCCTTACCTCTAGACTCCCCAAGTTGATGCAATATATCATCCATAACAGTAATTTGAGACAGGACTGATCCATTAAGAAAAATTACCTCTGATATTCTTAGAAAGTTTGAGGTAAGAGGATTGCTGACAATCAAGGAAAGGGAGACTTTGCACAATTAATTGGAATATTAAAGGGGAATGTCATTATCCCAGGCTTGACATGTCAAGCCTGTGATCCCAGAACTGAGGAGGATAAGGCAGGAAGATTACAAGTCAGAAGCTAGCCTGGGCTACATGCTGGAACCTGTGAGCTCAAAACCAGTCTGGACTCCAGGATAAGACCCTTTCTTTAAAAAAGAAAAGAGGAGGAGAAGGTGAGTCCAGTTTCCAATTAATAAAGTCAGAAAATTCTTCACCTACAAGTTTTCCAGATTTTGAAAATAAGTGAGAAGTGAAAAAGGTAGAGGGAAAATGAATGTGGTCCATATACTTAACCCTATTTAGTCCACTAAACCCTTCTTTTATTAAAATATTGTGTATAAGATAAAATTCATTCTCATAATGTAAACCACATTAGCGTATTATAAAATAAGTATTTGACATTAATCCATTTTCTAAGAAACCATACCCTTAGTCCACTTGTGCTGCTATAGAAGAATATCCGAGACTGGGTAATTTATAGATAAAATTAACTTATTCTTTCACAGATCTAGAGGTTGAGAGGCCTGAGATCAGGCTCCAGCACATTTGTTCTGCCCTAGAGGGGAACTCTGTGTCCTCACACTTCAGAAGCTGAATGGTCAAAAGGGCCAGAGGCTCGTGAGGACTTGATCAGACCCTTACTCCCATTCACCGGGGCAGTACCCCTCAGGACCTAATTCCGCTTTTAAAGGACCTGCCTCTGCATATCACATTGGCGACACCTGAATTTTGGAGACACCATGTTCAACCATGGCAGCAAAGATCTTACTTAACTTGATTTCAGAGATGGAGGGATGAGCAACATGAATAAGATATTACCAGAGAAAGAGATCATGAAAGAATAGATATTCAGAGAAAAGATAGTCTCCCTAACACAAAGTCTTAGCAGGACCCTCAAAAGTGAACATGAATTCTGTAACAGAAGGAAGAGATCGAGCCATCTGTGCTGCATTAAAACTGAGTCCATTCATAAACACGAAGCCTTACCTTAGGGGTGAAGTTTCTCACTGCTTTATCTTTGAAATTGATGGAGCCATTCTGGACTTCTTGGGACTGTGCATAAGGAGTCTTGATTTAATAGCAACATTTCAAAATACCAGTTTTCATTATCAGAAAAAGGAACAGAGTCAGGAAGAACAAGGAAAGTGCTGGGGAAGAGTTGTCCCTTGTAGAAAACCCTGATTGTAACATTAACACAGCAAATTGTTAACATTAACACAGCAAATTACTCCCATTCAAAATAACTCGCCTCCTCACAAACTGAATCAAATTTGATGACTTATTTAGTATACTTATTGCTGTTTTTGGGTCAATTAACAGATGCCATCTTATTTTATATATACTTCCCAATGTGGAATCAATCATATATTTTACCAATACATTATTTATAAGTGGTTAGGAAAGGTAAAAAAAAAAAAAAAAAACTTCAAGTGAAAGTTTTCCCAACTTGATGTGTCTTCCCCAAAATATTTTTAAATGAAGAACCTGTTATTCTGCTAACTCCGTTAGTTTGGAGTTCACATCCACAGTTCTCACCAGCGTGGGCATGTGTTATAAATCTGTAGTTAGCATCACTAAAAAAATAGTTAGTTCACAGGGAAAACTGTGAACTAAGGTGTATTCAGCCACAATTCTTCCTAGCGATCTTGAGAATGCAGTTTCTGTTATTATTTACACAATGACAGACATTTACCAAAATTATAAAGTGAGGAGCTATTTTATCTCCACCTTGTTTTCCTCATACAGATTTTTATGTGATGTGAAAAGGCAAACAAGTACCCCATGCCCAGAGGATGTGCTTTTATTTGTGCAAATGCCCACTTCCCTAAAGAGAAACTTTTCCCATTCAGAAAAAGACACAAGTAATCAGTAAGAATTCAGAACAAGAGCTTCAGGCTCTAAACTAGGAAAAAAATAACATTCCATTTGATAGTCTACATCTAGAAATCATTCTTTCCTAGGCTGACAATGCCTTCACCTTCATCTTGCTCTCCCAGCCCTCACTTTCTATCTGTTTACAGAGCTAGGGAGAGGAGCAGGAAATCAGACCCACAGTTTACTTGTCCTAGGATCTGCCGAGACGACAGAAAATTTTATTTTGTTTGTGCAACCTGAGCATCAGATGGGGCCTTCCAGACTCCTGAGATGCATGTAAATTTGTTCAGATGTCGTGTTTCACCCCGTGGAGAATTGGGAAGCCCAGTACTACTCCTTGTAGCCTCCAGGAGATTATAAGTCTACAGCCATTCTTATTTTCACTTCCTGTATTATACAGATTTTCTTTCATCTTCTATTCCAAATATGGCACTCCACTTCTTCCTCTGTTTCTATAAATTAACCAGATTCGCATATAATGGCCTAATTTGGGTAATGAGTACATGAGATTCATTATTATACAATCTACATTTGGTTCCACTTGATGTTTTTCATAACTTTTAATGAAACACACCGGGACTTGCTCACATAATGTCAAGTATGTATACGAGGGAAATTATCGGGAAATGTTGGGGAGATGGATAAGGTAGAGAGAAGATGACAAAAACAAACAGCTGAACTTTGCCTGTAAAGAGCCCTGTTCTCAGAAAGGTCCTTCAGCCTCCCCTCCCCCAGTAGCTAGTGGCTCCTCAGAGGTACTCGTGTTTCTCACCTTTCGTTCATCTGATTCTGATTTGTGATGCTCGATCCACCCTGTTGACCCCGGGGGCTTTAGATTACTTGCCCTGTAGTACAGGAATTGTCCCATCAACTATTCTCAGAATGCTTAGCTGAGAAATCAGCCTCCACTTTAATAGGATCTATTTTTCTCAGGGACACTTGTGGTACAGCCAGCAAAAATTTATTCTGTTATATTTTTAGCATGTCCCCTTTAATATTTTGTTGCTGTACGTCATACAGAACAGACATTTCCAGATCATGCCTTTGAGAATAGCAGTACCAATTAAATTTTTGTTTAGGATCATCTTTTTGAATAACCCAAAGCTCTTGTTTTTAAAATAGAGTTTGAGGGCAGTCTTGACATTACATTAGACTATTTTCTTTATGCGTAAAGACAGCTGTCATTGCAACTGCCATTCTATAAATGTACAGACTCTAAGAACTCCCTGGCTGGCTTACTGTCAATAACTATTTTGACATGCCCTGATAACTCCTTAAATCTTCTCGTGTTTCTTATTCTCATCCTTTTTTTCTAAGTCAGAATTTTAAATTGAGCCAAAATTCCCTAAAGCGCCAAAGACTAACCATTAACTCAATGTAACTTTTCACATGGTGTGTTTACTGTCACACAGCACTGCAGCTATGAGGACTTATCCGTAAAAACTACATTTCATCTCAAACTCCTTGTGTGACCATTAACTGACTTTTTTTGCTACCTTTACCTTTTGCCTAAATCTCAATTGATCCACAAATTTCTCTTCAGCTCTGGATTTCACACGGCAACATTAGATATGCTCTCCTGGCTGCGTTTTTCTTTGTCATAAAATTGTAATTTATTGGACCATAATAACAGTGTCCTCTAAAACAGTTACTCCCCTGCCAATCCTCACCAATTTACATACTCTCCCATTTCCATAAATTTGATTTCTAGTTACTTCATGTAGATGATCAAATTCTAATTCATTACACTGCTACAGTCAAAATCAGAACCATAAATCCTTCTACAGTTGTCATTTTTAAACCTAAAGATGCTGCATCCTCCCAGAAGTGTTTCTGACTCCCCAAATCTAAGTATTCACTGTATGCCAACTATACCACCAAATATGCTTCCCGTTACAGTACATACCACACTGTGTTGCCCTGCTGTTCTGTCTCTGATACTACGGTTTAGTGTTATGAGATCAAGAACCATGTTTTATAATGAATCTCTAGTATTGTGCATGGCCTTCACGAGATGCCCAATATGTATTTGGTAATGCTCTTAACACCTTGCACTGAGGCTACGGAATTCTTCTCAAAAGGAATTTCAATAGATATAACTGTACAACACATTATACCTTCATAGAAAAGTCACTTGCCTCTAAAACCTCTGAAGTAAATTTAAATGCATGAAAGATGAAGAGAAAATACATTATTAAAACACAGAAGGCAGAACTAAGTACAAGCAAGTTTTAATATATGAATGTATTGCTATTCTAAGGATTACTTTCTTGTTTGACAGTTAGTTCAAAGCTCAAAGCACATTTTGCACTAGAAAAAGTATACGTAAATTTTTATCTAGCTTTCCCAAATTTTTATAATGCAACTAAAATATTGCTGTATTGCCAGTGAAAAATGATAATAACAGAAGGAGTAGCTTTCTCCTATGAAGCTTATATGAGCCAGGTCCTGTGCTACATATTTGATATACACCTTCTCATTTCATTCTTCCAGCAAATCCATGAAGTAGGTGGTATTCCTTCCAGTGCATAGGAAAGAAAATATAAGTTGAGAAAGGCTAGTAGTTTGCCCAAATACACCCAGGCAGGCATGTGCAGGAGACTAGTTTAGCACTGCTTTACTTCTTTTTGTAGGAAATTATTTGGAATTCACATTTGTAGGACTACAAAACCACCACTATTTCCATTATGCAAAGCAATCATATTATAATACCAATGATTATGCAAATGCATAAAAACAGTGAAAATGAACAAAATGCATTTGAACATATCTTAATTGCTTTTATTTAACTATTATAACTCCAATTGGATTTATATTGGACTATTATTAGAGAGGCAAAGCATAGGAATAACAGTGAAAGAGCTCTCAAGTGATCATCAGAATACCAACTTGCTAATGAAATTTCCACCTTAACTAGGCTCATGGTGGATATGAACTGCCTAAATTTAACAATGGACTTAGTTTTCTAATACCTCAACTCAGAACAATAGTGTGTCATTTGCACTTTTCTTGTGCATATATGTGCTTACGCACATATGTCCTATTATAGTACCATGGTCAGAAGTCAAAAAGCCTTAACTATACTATCCAATGTGTCCACAAGCCGGCTTACTGAAAAGCAAACCACTACCAGAATAAAAAATAAAATTTTAACTACTGAAGCATTTCCAACGTAAAGAATGTTCATATGCTGAAGTTATTTTCTGCTGACTCTTTTCAACAATTTGGAGATGAGAGCTTCCCAGCCTCCCGCAGGATGCTGTTTATTCATTTCAGTCACCAAGGCTAACGATTGTTAGGACCTGTTTCCCCAGCACCTCCTTCTCCAGCCTCATCTCTCACTCTTCCCATGCATCTACCCTCCATTCCATGCCCTAACGCCATGGTTTCTTAAAGTTAGGTACGTTTTCTAATCTCCTCGTATCTGTCTGCAAGTCCTCTCTAACTGGTAAACTATAATCCTCCTTAAATATTTAACTCAAGTACCACCTCCTATGGGAAATGCTCCCTGCATTTGATCTCAGGATCAAACTGTCCGCACGGTCACAGCTCCTGGGGTGCATACTCCCATGGCAGGACCTAACGCATGCAGGACTTCATTACTTTGCTTACCTACATAAGCAGTAAACTCTTTGTCCTTAACTCAGAATGTGGTGTATGCTGTGCTACATGGTCAGTAAACGTTCGTAGTTCTCAATAGACTATCAGATGTTTAAACTTCTGTTGTCACTGACAGGTTTTTTATAGGCAAGAGGGTCACAGCGACAGCCAAGTTATTGAAACACAAAAACCTCAAGCGGTAGTGCCTCTCCCTGATGCTGGAGTCTATATCATTGAAATCCGAGCATACAGCGAAGGAGGGGATGGAACAGCTAGTTCCCAGATCAGGGTACCATCATATTCAGGTAAGTCTTAACATAATAGGCTTAATTTGATGGTCCCCCTGAAAGATGATCTAAAGCTCATGAAAACTGAATGATGGGTTGTACAGTTCCATGATTTTTGAGAGTTTTCTGATTTAACTTTGATTTCTGTATAATCCTCAAATTAGCATGAACCCTAGTAATTTGCTCACATTTGTAGAATTTCCCTAAATCCAGAAAGTAATTTATATTCTCATCAGAATTTACTTAATTGTGAAATTCCCTTGCCTCAACTAATACCTTGCTCACCATACTTGGGGATACAGCATTGCTTTTAAGCTGATATTCCACTAGTTGGGAATACTTCTCTCTTATGTTGATTACCCTTATGGTTAGATAATGGTAAGTTTAAAAAGATACTTTTGAGATTAAAATTTAATGTTCACTGATTTCTAAATAAATTTCCTTGATCATTGTTGTTGTTAGCTTGCTTGACTCCACTGAGCCTTTCCTATATATCCAGCACAGTCAAAAGGACTTCACATATATCTTGTTTAATCTTAATAACAATCAAATAAGTAGGTGGAATTGTTCCTGCTTTACAGAGAAAATTTAAGTGACTTGCCTAACAGTACAAGTTGGCAGGGGCAGGATTCCAGCCTAGCCACATATCCACCACCACACCCATTATATGAGAAAGGAATAACCGGTTAAAGGAAGAAAGATTTTATGAAGGTCCAAGAAAGTAACCATTTCATCAAGGTAGTCAAGAAAGGAAGCAGATGTTTAATTATATATGCAAATACCTGATCAAGTATTAGGAAATTTTCATTAAAATATTATGTAAAAATTTAGTGTTCATTTGAGTGAGTATGAGCATTAACTTTTGGACACTCATTCTCAAGTAGAATTATCCACCCGAATAAAGTCTCCAGCAACATTTTGTAAGCCTCTGTATCTGTATCTTAGTTAATACATTTATCAGCGGGGCTGGGGATTTAGCTCAGCGGCAAAAACGCCTGCCTGGCAAGCACAAGGTCATGAGTTCGGTTCCCGGTGCCGGAGAAAAACCAAAACCAAAAAAAAAAAAAAAAATACATTTATCAGCTTGGAGTAAGACCAGAGGTGTTATTCATGACGCAACAAAATGGGAGGGATAACAAATACAATGGAGAAAACCACAACGCCAGACTTTGAGAAAATCTATTGACATACTATTTCATAAATTATAAAATCTTGAATAAAAAACAAAATGAGATACATAGTAATATTGAGACAACTGATAAAATTTGGCTATCAATAAATTTGATAATATTATAACAATATTCATTTCTTGGGTTTTTTTTTGTTTTTTTTTTTTTTTTTATTTGTTTGATTTGGGTTTTTTGTTGTTGTTGTTGTTTGTTTGTTTTTTAAGACAAGGTCTTGCTTTGCAGTTCAGGGTGGCCTTAGCACACTATGTAGTCCAGGCTGGCCTCAAACTTGCGACAACCCTCCTGCCTCAGCTCCCAAGTCCTAGGAGTACAGGT